CTGGGAATAGGCTTTGAAATAATCAACCTTTGGGCCTAATTGGGCTGCAAAGGGTTGTGAGGCCTTATATGGGTTTGTCATGGCACTAGTGGTCCTGACAGGTGGCTGTTGGGCCATTTGGGTAAAGGTAAGTGGATTGACAGTGGTTGATACGGCTACTGGCCGAATAACCAAAGCAGATTGGGCTGCTGGCCTACTGGGCTGAGCAGTTTCAAATGATAAAAATCTGTTTGACAAGGCTATTGGCAAGTCAGGTTCAGATTTGGGTTGTTGTTTTTGTTTATCCTTTTTCCCCCCTGAATTTTTGGAGGAGGTTCCGGATATACTATGTTTCCTGTCCGCCATGAGGTTCCTGCAAAAATTCTCTGGTTAGGAAATCAGGAATATAATTATGTTCGCCCTTGGTATATTCTATATCAAAATCGAAAATACTTAAAATAGATTGCCATCTAGCAAAAATTTGCTTAGCAGCTATATTTTTGACTTCTTTGGTTAAAACATCCTTGGCTGATTTACAGTCAACCCGCACAAAGAATTTCTGATTTAATATATCATCCTAGAATTTAGAGATACACAGGACAATAGATAAAATCTCTTTTTTGGTAGTGGAATAATTCTTTTGAGTTTTATTCCAAATACCAGAATGGAATCGAACAATTTGTTCAGGAGAATTAGGAGATTCTCTCTGAAGGAGGATTCCACCATAACCAACATCAGAGGCATCAGTCTGGATGATTTTAAAAGAATCAACGGACGAAATACCAAGACAAGGAAGAGTTTTTATGAACTTCTTGACCTGTTGAACAATGGAAGTATGAACAGTGGTCTAAGGAGAAGGATTTCCTTTGAGCCTGTCATACAGATGTTTGATGATTTTCCTAAGATCCTGATAAAAGTCAGAAACATAATTTAGGGAACCTAAAAACCTTTGTAATTGGGTTTTGTCTAGGATTTCATCTGGAAATTTATCTGCAAACTGGATGGTTCTACTAATAGGAGTGATAGTAGAATCTTGGATATTGTATCCTAAAAACCTTACTGAGGTTTGGAACAATTTAATCTTGGATGCAGATAACACTAATCCATTTTGTTGAATAATCGTAGTGAAAGCATAGAGGTGCTTCCAATGTTCTTCTATTGTCTTTGAGAAGATAAGTATATCATCTATATAGACAATAGAAAAATGACTGATACAATTAAAAACTTCATTCATTATGTTCTGGAATTCACTTGGGGCATTTTTTAACCCAAAAGACATGACATTCCATTCATAATGTCCGAAAGGAGTGGTAAAAGCGGTTTTATACCTATCCATAGGGTGGCTTTGTATTTGCCAAAAACCACTTTTAAGATCAAATTTGGAAAAGATAGTGGACTTATTGAGTCTTTTTATCAAATCCTGTTTATTAGGTATAGGGTACCTAATCCATTCTAAAACCTTGTTTAAAGGTTTATAGTTTATGACTAACCTTGGGACTCCTCTTTCTAATTCTGCGTTTTTGACTACATAGAAAGCAGGACAAGACCAAGGTGACTTGCTATTCCTAATGATACCATTTTTTAGTAACTCTGAGATTTCCTTTTTACAGATCTCAGTAGTTTCATGGTTCATTTGGATTGGTCTAGACTTAGTGGGAATATTGTCTTCCTGAAATCCTTTGATATAAGGAAGTCTAACCATGTGTTTCTTCCTATGCCAGAATGCTGTAGGAAGAGAGGAACAAACTTCTGATTCAAGTTTTTCCCTAAACCTATCAATCTTTTGTTGTAAGATTGGGTTGGTTAGGTTTTCTTTAGTTCTAAGGTGGTTAATCTCTTGTTTAAGAAATTCCACTTGTTTAATTTTTCTGTTTATAACATTAAGGGACTGTGAGACAGAAACGTCTTTTAGCTGCCTTAAATGTTTTTCTTTCTGGTTTAGTGATAAATGTAAATACAATTTTTCTTCCAAAATGTGAAGTTGATATTCCATTTGTATCTGTACTAAAAGGGTATAAAAGATATATAAATGGAAGACCAAGTATAACAGAGTCAGTCATGTCTTTAACAAGTAAGAATGATGTCTCAAAACATACATCTTGTTGACATACATGAACTCTTGGAAGTTTGTATTTAACATTCATCTTACTGCCATTAGCAGAACTAATTCTTTCCAATGTTTTTTCATAAAACATGGTTGGAATTAATCCTTCTTGGATGCAGTTTACATCTGCTCCAGTGTCTAATAAGGCAATAACAGTAATATGATAGTTGTTGTTAATGATTAATTTTACTTCAACATGCCATTTTTGGACAGTCAAAGAGTTAATCAGACTAATTCTTTTATCATCATTAGTGCCTACTTCATGGAATGAAGGCAGGTTCGTTACACCAGAAGTTTCCGTCTGAAAGGAGGAGGTTACTGGTATCCCCTGTGTAAAGCATTGATGATCAAAAGGATTAGTAAAATCTTCAGTCTGATCTTCTGGATCAGAATCCTGAGATTTTTCAGAATGTTTTTCTGTTTGTAAAAGAGTTAAAGCTTCAGCAAATTTTTTGTCTTGAGCTTTTAAATCTTTTATTTCTAGTTTAAGCTTATTAACTTCACTTTGGAGATCTTGTAAGGTGATTTCTTTTTTCTTTTCCTTACTAAATCTTTCCATAGTTTTGTTAAGGCTTTTTAATGGTTTTTCTATAATAGGTTGCTTATTATCCTTTTTACTGAAAAGGTTTCTAAGCTGTCTTACATACTTATCTTTTAGATCTGGATCTTCTATCTTGGAGATCAAGTCTATAAGTATGTGTTCTTCATTTTGTTTAGTGATTACCCTGACTTGTTTTTGACAAGAGCATCCTATTTTAATTCTAGGTTTATCAGGGTGATCAGAGGCTGAATAATAATCTGAAGAGTCTGAGGTGTCTACTGGACTGTTTGATTCTTCAGAACTTTCCAGATTATTTATCCTAAAGATTTCAAGGATTCTGTCCTCATCATCTTGGGATAAATTTAATCTTTTGACTTGTTTCTTGATTGGACAGTCAGGACTAATGTGGCCTGGCTTTCCACAATTGAAACATTTAATGTCATCTTGGGCTTTCCCTTTTCCCTTTTTATCTGTCCTTTTGGATCTAAAATTTCTTCTTCTTGAAGATTCAGGTTTAGATTTTTTGGCAGTTTTGTGACGAGGGAAAAACCATTGGTAAGATTTATTTTTGGAATAAGGCTTATGTGATTTGGATTTTCTGTGTTTCCTATGGGAAGGAGCTAATGGCTGTAACCCATATTGTTCACAAAAATTACCTAATTCATATTTAGCCTTATGTTTTTCATTTGTTAATTGCTTATTGATTCTCAAATCAACACACCATTTTAATCCTACATTCTGGATGGTGCTAATGAGTTCTCCATAAGCAAGATTATCATATTCAATGATTCCTGTGTCTTTGCTAAGGGCTTCTCTAACCTTATGGGCAAAGAGATTAGGTAGTCCATTAACAAATTTTTCTTTCCAGAAAGCTTTTTGGCAGTCTGGGCGAACCATAACACGAGAAACAAAGACATCTTTATACCACCTAAAGTCACTAAGTGTGGGACATTTTAGGTTGGTTAATTGGTCATGGATCCTAGCAGTTATGCTACTAGGAGTGCCAACAAAGTGTTTGATGATGGTGAATATAAGGGTATTACATCCATCAGGTCTAGCTGTTCCAATCCTTTCATCAAAGATTGGAATGCCCTCATCATCTTTGAGAACAACATTAATGATACTGTCTATTTGTTCCTGGTTTAAATAATTATCCCACCAATTTCGAAGAACACCTGTAAATCCTGAAACTATTAGTTTGACAATCTCAGGTTCAGGGCTATCTAGATTGGTCATATAATTATTTAATACCATGGATAGATGACTAATCTTATTAAGAATTTCCTGTTCACTTAGACCGCCTATGTTCCATTCATAGAGTCTGTTAGACTGAACAGAAAATTGGTTTAACACATTTTTCTCTTCATACTGAAGATCTGGTGGAGTAGGTCTAGAATACCAGTTCTTTGTGGAGCTGGTAGGGACTCTAACCAGTGCATTGATTTTAGAATCAGGTTGGGTCATATTGTGATCCCTAAACTGATTTTCTAAATTTTTAATTTCTGAATCAGAATCAGTGGTGTCTTCTGGACTACTAGATTCTGCATCAGACTCTGAACTTTCTTCAGTTTGGTTGATGACTGTTATCTGAGAAGTACTGGTAGATTCCTTCTTTGATAATAGTGCATCAATTTGTTGAATTAGGTTTTTATCTTTTAAACCTAAATTCTTTCTTTCTTCAGGTAGGTTGACTAGAGGTCTTTCTACTGAAGATGATTTAATTTCATCTATTTTAGTTTCAATTTTATCCAACTGTTTACCTATAATAATTAGGTTTTGGTTGGTGTAATTGACCTGTTCAACTATCTTCTTTTCAGATTCTAAAATTGGAATCTTAAAGGGAGTAGCAATAACAGTTTTGGTAGCATATTTAATTTCAATAGTTTCTACTGGGGGGTGACTAGAGGTTACCATAGCAGATTCTGTTTTCCAATTTTGCTGAGTTACCACTTTTACTTCTTTGTGGAAGTTTTTATCAAAAATTGCTTTGTTTGATGTCTTTGATTGCCCGTTACTCTATGGGTAAGTGTCACACCCTCACCCCGGATCACATAGGGTGGGCGACAGAACGGCCACTAAGGCCTTAACCAACTAACTTTGTGCATAATAAATGCAAAATACAACAGAAGATAAATAATAACGTGATTCATTTCACCAACCTAATGAATACCAAGGGAATAAACTAAACATCACCAGCATCATTATTAAACTCATGTAAAATAATAATTAAATCATAAGGTTCACTACTCTAAACATCAGCAATATTGCTCCCAAAATAATTGAATACTTATCTCAAAACTATAAAAGATATTTATTCCTGAAAACCTACAAGAAAATAAATCTTCAATTCTTCTAATTCTTTGTCTATCCGAGGACTTACTCCTCCTCTTGATCCTCACCTAAAAAATGTTAAATGTTTGGATGAGCACAAAGGCTCGTGAATAACAACCATCTCTAATGAGGTGTGAAAATAAATCTCATAGTTTATATACAAAAATAAACTTGAAAACATACTTAAGTACAACAAATTGTACCCTAATTTCTCCCACATAATCCTGTAAACAAAATGATCTTCTGATCACAAATAACTTTATAAATGAAAAAACATTTATAACCCAAAACACCCACTTATTTTCACAAATAAATTTATAAATAAAAAGACATTTATAACTCAAAACACACACACACACACATATTCAGTTTCAAATACATTTGTCAAATTATGTTTGTTACCATTAGCCTAATAACTGGTTTCATCTCTTGTCATCACTAGCCTAATGACTGACCCCGTCTCTTGTTATCACTAGACTTGATAATTGGCCCCTATGTGCATATCCCTATACCGACCACACCGGTATACAATCTCGTTACCCATTTAGACTTGGTAATTCAGTCCCCTTCTCATAAAACATGATTTCAACACACACCAAAACTGTTGTTTTAGTTCCAACGCACACAAAATTTCTCTTTCATTACCAAAACACATTTAAGCAATGATATAAAATTATTCCATAAGTTTTTCAAATTCATCTGTATAATAATTCACAATTGTAAAAAATTTAATTGCAACCCCAAACATCAACATATATTATATATATGAAAAATTAACACAAACGCACCCATAATTTAATATAGAAAATTCTCCCAAAAGAAGTAGTAAACTATTCACCTTGATTCCCAAAATTCAATTCAAAGTCTTCTTTCTCAACCTCAATGCAATCACCACCTAATCTAAAATAACAAATAATAATCAATCTCTATGGCTAACTTCGTCGTTTCACGATTCTATATTTAATGTTTATACTTCTTACCCATTGATATATATACTTAATATATCTTTTACATATTAATATCATTTCTAATATGAGGTAATATGGTATGGATGTATTCTAAGCTATTTAGAAAAATTTTCTAAAATTTTGGAGTCAAATCATAATTTTTAAAACTTTTTGGGGTAAAGTGTAATTTCTTTGAAAAACGAATTTTCTGTTTTCAAGACTGCCATAAGTTTTCCAGAATTCAATTCTTGCAACTTACCAAGTAAAAAGGTGGTTAAAAATTAAATTTCAAAGAATATAGGGGTCAAAATAAAACTCTTTGAAACTAAAAGAGAAGTTTCCATAATTTTACACTTTTTCACCATCTTCTTCCTGCGGAAACTCTAAAACCAATAACTTCCTTTTCCTTTTTTTTTTCTTTTTCTTCTCAACACATTGATTAAACTCAATCAATTCCAAACAACTATAAACTAAAAGATTAACCTAATAACTTCAATAATTAATAAGGTACCATGAGACATATATATATATATATATACACCAATAATATAAACCCTACACCCTTTAATTGAATAAGAATATAAAACCCATAAGAAAATAATCAATTCATACCTTGGATGAATTCAAGTCCCTTTCTTTCTTTTTCCTCCTCCTTCTCTCTCTCACTCTCTCTCTCTATCAAAACAATAATAACCATTGTTCTGCACGTCATAAACTCATAGTTGTGTCTCAACATAAATAAGAATAAAGAATGATCACAAAACATAATTATATATAGTACATCTGTAAAATGGGTCATTCTTTAATCTAATTTATCAAAATGGATCATTTATCTACACGTCAATGTAGGTACTCTCTCTCCATCACAACCTTGAATGTCATTGTATCAATCTAAATCCGCATCTTCCAACTGGGGAATATACAACAATCTAACATTTACAAAATCAATTAAATTTAGTACACGTCAGGAATTTTAAAATTATAAATTTCAAAATATAAAAAATAAACTATAACAAATAAATTTAGTTACCTTATTCAAGCATAGATAAGTAAAATCATTATATAGAAAACAAAAAGTCTAATATATAAACAAACTAATGTGTCATGACACTACCTCAGAAATTAGGATTCTGTTGAGTTCATGCTCGTCGCGGATCACAATACCAACATTATTTTTCTTGAGCAACTTAACAAAAAAATGAACACAAACTATATGAGCATATTAGTGAAATGAAGCTCATCGTACAGTTTGTTCTAAGTCGTCATCAATCTGTAAGAAAATGCATGAAAATAAAGTGAAATCAAAATGTGAATATTTTACGGCGACAAAAAAAATAGAGGTTTAAACTTACAAGACCAAATATGAAGAGATCTTTCATTTTTCAATCTTGTGAGTTTGCAGTGGTGGTTAGTACACTACAGTGGCTACAAATATAAAAAACAAAGAGAAATAATTAAACATGCAATTGAAAATATACAATATTGTCTTAGCAAAATTAATCGTGTAAGCAACTTAAAAAAAATTAGATAAATACACTCCTTATGCAACAAACAAAAATAATTTGATAAGTACTAAATATTCAAATAAAAATTTGCAATAATTGGAGGAAGTACCGCATAATAGCAATGAACGAATTTGATGTAGCAAGTACTACCCTTAACCACTTTATTTCCACAAAACCAACGCGGTAATAAAAAGTATAGGAAAAAAAATTATGCAATTCAACTCAACTTAGAGGCCCTTTACTCATTTTGCACAAACAACAAAAATACAAAGGAACATATAACTCAAATTGAGTAAATCAAAAAATTAGAAATATTCGTTAAATACACATATTCATTTAGTTGTAAAATTGCCAAAAACACATAAATATTGACATATTTAGTGCATTTGTAGATCATTGACATAGGTGGTAAATCATTTTTAGTGCATGTGCAAAAAAATCAAATACTCTTCTTGCCCTTCCAGTTTCTTCTACTAAAAATCAAATACTCTTTTAAGTGGATGGGTGGTAAGTACGTATTACTCTTTTCTAGTGATGCAACTATGCAACCATGGTGTACATGAACATTTTAGCTAATTACCCTAATCCTGAGAATCTATCTATTATTCATTTTCTTTATTTATTATCTTGCAATGTTACAACCCAACTTTGTCAGTTTGGCTTATGAACAAAAATCTAGGAATCCCAAAAGTACAACTAGAATGGTTTGCTTCAAGCTTAAAAGTTCTGATTGGAACCAATAAGTCACTGCCTGGATGCAGAACAACAAACAAATGATTTTGGATATCATGTAGGGCCAGAATCAGAAAAATCGATTATTAATAACAAACCATCCCACACATCATGTCCCAAAAATTTAAACATCATGATGTGATAAAATATCAATTTACTACAACGGTCTAAAATTTTAAATTTTGAAGTCCTTATATATTTATCCTTATAGTACCACAGAACTCGTTTTACAATATTTATCCTGCATCACGCTCTACAATAAATTGAGATTTCAAGAATCAAAACCACCTAGGCAGCAATCATATATGTCAACAGCTAAATAATGCATACCCTAAAGGATAAAAAGGTCGAGGGCCTTGAAGTTCAATTTCTCTCGGTTCTATTGTCTCCAAACTGCAAATACAGTATCACAAAGCAAAAGATCAAAGGTAGAAAAAACAATTAGACCAAAAGAATCTAAACTTTCCAGTACACCAAAGTAATCAAATTTTTCAGAAAAGGTCCTTGCTAGGCAAGACTTACAGAACAATTTGGTTAAGAATATGGAAAGATCACTTTATACATTATGAATAAGTAACCTACTTGTAAAGAAGATTCAACCCATCGCTTAAATAAGACAATCTAAAGATGATTACGAAGGTACTTACTACTTATACTCCATTTCTTCTGATGGGTCAATGAACAGGTTCAAAATTTTGAAGAAAACATAAAATTCCCTCAAACCATTTTTCAAACTAAGGAAGCTTAGTATATATAGACAAACGATCAAACATACATTCTAGGTGACCATCAATTTGATCATAAAATTCAGATTAGTGGTTGATTTAGGCTCATGACCAGCATCTTCTAGCTTGATTTCACGACCGACACATCAAAACATATTGTGCAGGGAGACAAACACATCAAAACATATTGTAATTAGTCTCTTGCAGACACACGACAGAGCTAATATATGCCTGAAGCGACTGTGTGTGCGTGGCTGTAAATGCAGTCCAAGGAAAAGTGAAAAACAGATGTGTGTGTGGTTGTGATTCAGAGGGTGCCTTTGACAGAGAATGTATGGCATGGGCATTTGAACGAACAACTTGTGGGCATTTGAACGAACAGCTTGTGGGCATTTGAACAAACAACAAAACCAAACAGAGGCAAGTTGCGTTGAAGGATTTGGAAAAGCTTCCACAGCCTTAGTTCTACTCAGAGTCTCACGCAGACTTACACTCATTACAGACATTATTGTTGCTGCCTGCAGCAGCCACCCACTGTGAACCCTTGGTCTGTGGTCACAACAGCCACATCATTAGTAAAGATTCTGAGTGTCTGTGTGGTTACACATCTGCACTCACTGCTCATTTGGTTTCAAAAAATTCTATAAACAAAAAATTCTACTCACTGCTCATTTGGTTTCCTGACTCCAATAAAAACATCTACTGGATTGTAGTCTCTTTTTTCATGAATTGCGCTTTCATGAAATGTGCTTCCGTCTATAGATCCAATCGACGAAGCCTTTGCCGCCTAAAATACAATGAAGAAATCAAAACTATAATATCACATAGATGTATAAATCATTTTTAGTATTTTTTAATACAAAGATCATCCCTATATAGTTATAGCATTATACCATGACAAACTGAAGTAATACATTTCGGTTCAACTTCTGTAAAAAACCTCACCGAATGGAACTAACAACTCTCCAATAACAAAATAATTCCAAACTATGAACGCATAAAACCCAATGTCACCACCGATTCATAATATATTCCAAGGTTTAAAAAAATATAACTTCATATCACAATCAAAAGTGAAGCAATATATCACTATAACAACAATTCATTATCCAAAAAGTATAGCTGAATGAATTCAATCCATAAAGGATTCCAGCTAGAAACGATTGCAATATAAATTATATGCCCATTCAATGAAAAGAATATAATCTAAACAATACAAAAACTAATCCAATTTCATGACTCCAAACCAAGCCAATTCACTTTGTCCCAGCTGAATATTAATTGCCTATATAAACAAGCAAATCAATGAGTTTACTTAATTGAATCCATAAAGTGAATAACAAAATTTTAATTGTTAAATCCTTAAAAATAATTCATTAGATCACAACATAAAATCCACAAAAATAAACACATTCATTCATCATCCACATATACATATATATCTAGAGGGATATAAGGAGAAACCCACAATAGTGTAGGCAAAATTGCAATTCGTAAAAGTGGTAGCACAATAAATTCAATCCATAAAGAAGGCTAGCTAGAAACGATTGCAATATAAATTATATGCCCATTCAATGCATAGAACATAATCTAAACTATACAAAAACTAATCCAATTTCATGACTCCAAACCAAGCCAATTCACTTTGTCCCAGCTGAATTTTGAATCAAATAACCAAAACAATCAATAGTTGAATTTAAACCCAAGCAATTCATATTACCAATATATGAAAGGCAAACTAATTTGATCATTGCAATGTTTAGCATGGATCAATCAAAATTGCCAAACGTCATTAACATTCAATTTATGCAAAAAAAAAAAAGTTCAACCTAATTGATACATTGTACGTGAAAATTTCCAAAAAAAAATGGGTAAATAAAAAATGAAACTCATCCATGCTAAACATCTACATACATATGTTGTCAATGCATTAGGAGGGAAAGGTGTAGTAGGAAGAATTCTTACCAAAGCGCTTCATCATTGATTCCAAGAGTGAAGCATTACCAAAGTGCTTCTCAACCTTCAAAACACACACATATCCTCTTCTTAATCAAATAGTATTGTAAACCCTTAAAGCTTAACACCAAAGAAATTAAACTATGAAAATCAAGAATCAAAAGTGTGCATATTGTTCATTCAATCCAAATAACCACGTTTCCATGAGAAATTTCATCAAACTAACCGTGTGCATAACCAAAGATGTAGCATTTGTTCAGTACATAATCGAAAGGAATTCCATGCTAGAAAATACCATTCTAAATTGCACAAACAATGAATGAATGACCACAACACCATAAATTGCCAACTAACAAAAGTGGGTATTTACACAATTTTATAAGAAAAATATTTGCTTAGAGTTCAAGAATTCATTGACCACGACAAAGCTTGAAAGTGCAACGTTCATCTCTGTTCCTCGTTGAAGTAAACTTGACTCCATCAAGCAACATGGGTACCCAGTGAACTGGAAAACACAATGATGAAAATAACACTTAAAGCTTAAAATATCACATGTCATCAACTTTTCTCTTATATAAAAACTTAATCAAGTCCAAAGTATAAAGTCAAGTGCATAAACTTTCAAACCAAAACACAGAACAAAAAATAGAGCAGGAAAGAACTTGCAAGTTCTTATTCGTTATTTTGTATCATTTGAAAATCTTGATCAGGGCTTGTGAAAATCTAGATCTTTGACGATGGTCACAGTGCAAGCATCATTTGTCATCACATACGCCTGTGTCATCACCACCACCCCAAAACAAAACACATCCCATGTTAACTTATGAGAGAGAGAGAGAGAGAGAGAGAGAGAGACTACCACTATATATTGTGATTTGTGAAAGATTAGATCATGGTCGATATAGAGAAATGAAAAAAATCATAATAAAGAAGTACCTTTTGATGGTGCTAAGTCCCCTGCTTCCGATAACCAACGAATCCAACTTCAGATCTTCAATAGCTTCACACAGCTTCTCTCTTGCGTCTCCCCAATAAAGTTTCGTAACAAAGATTATCTATGAAAAAAAACATTTATTTCCTAAAATTACTCACGCAATTACAAACAAATAATTGGAATTCGTGCCATTAGCTGGAAGAGTGCTATTACTCCAGGACCAGTCAAGGTTGCCTAATGCAAGGATCAGACAGAGTGTGGTCTGTAATCAAAAGGAATGAGGCTGATTATGCAGAATGTCAGCAGTCAACAAGCATGATTTGCAGCAGATGGTTAGAGAGCATGCTGCCAAGTGCAAGGATGAGAGAGTGAGATCAGAATTACAAGCAGTGATCTGGGATCAGAGCATGGGGTTATTTTGCTTTGGAGACTGGAGAGTGCTGTCAGACTGGACTGCTGATTGGAGACTGCTGTTAGGCTGTGTACTGGAGAAGTGAAGTTGAAAGAGGCCTTAACAACAGTTTTCTATTCTTTGTAACAGAAAAGAATTTTCTGTTATGAAACAAATTCTGTTTGTTTGCTTGTTAAAACAAATTTTTTCTGTTTTTGATTCTTGTAATTCTTAAATTACATTCAATAAATTTTATTTAAAAAAAAAATTACAAACAAATAATTATCAGTATGAAACATGAAAACCACAACATAAAATGGCAAAAAAAAAAAAAAAACTAAATATAAATGCCCTAAACCTCGACCAGAGGAATGAGAGCTACAAAACAGAAAACCCAGGTCAATTTAGTCAGATCAG